TCCGGTCCTCTCCTCCTCACTCTCTATAACAGTATCAGTGGTAGGTGTAGTCACAGATTGACTCCTAGGGGGTACTATTTCATCGCTCCCCCTCAATGTCTTTCCACTCCTAGTGGTGATAGCATTTACAGAGTTTTTAGGGTCAATACCTTGAGGTGGGAGTTTTGACACTCCAACCCCATCCTTTATAGCACTAGCCAACTGAGAAATATGGGTTTCAAGCATTTTATTATGTGTCATCACTTCATTAAACTTTTTGCCACTGGTGGCCAAGAAAGTGTTGAACATTTTGGTCTGTGCTTCCATCATCTCCTCCAAACTAGTCCTTTGCGATGGTCCTTGAGCATTGTAGTTGTCATTAGAGGCTCGGGAGCCACGCGCATTAGACTGTTGGGGATTTTGATTTTGGAAGTTGTTCCTGTTACCATTGTTATTCCAATTTCCCCTGTTATTGGCATGCATGTTCTGATTGTATTGCCCTTGATTACCTGCATTTTGTTGGTAATTATTCTGATTACCAAAATTACCATGTTGATTATAAGACCCTTGGGGATTTTGGTCCCTTTGGTTCCTGTTTCCCCACTGGTTTTGCTGTTGGTAGTCAGAATTATTACCCTGTTGATTATAATTGTTCCCTCTTTGATTAGGTGGTAAATATCTGTTATTGTCATTCCTAGGTCTATTATCATAAGACAAGGCATTGACTTGTTCATTATCACACTCATTACCATCATTATAGTTGGATTGAAATTGGGAATCTACGTTACAAGCAGAGGTATCATGGTCATAAGACCCACAGTTTTCACAGAATATACATCCAGCAGGCATATTATTAGAGTTATAGTGCATACCTGCTCCCTTAGAATAGGATGGAAGATTTTGATGCGGTGGAGCGTTGAGCTTCTCCTTGATAATTGACATTTCCTTACCCAGATTTACAATTTGCGATGTCAAATTCCCGATTGCATTAAGATGGTCTACCGAATAGACCGCTCCTCCACTCTTGCTTGTGGCCTCACGCTCTCCATCTTGCCAATCCATGTGGTGTCGTACCACATCTTCTATGATATCAATGACTTCTTCTTCGGTTTTGTTCATAATGGGGCCACCTGCTCCCGCATCCAAACTGGTCTTCCCTTGAGGACTCAATCCTCCATAGAAAATCTGTAAAACTTGATATGTTGGGATTCCGTGGTGTGGGCACTGTCTTTGATACTCCTTGTACCTTTCCCATGCTTCGTAGATTGACTCCCCACTCCTTTGCCGAAATCCCTGGATCAAAGCTCTAGCATCGGCCGTCTTCTTTTGGGAATAAAATCTTCCCAAGAATGCTGTCGTGACATCATCCCAAGTGTGTAGAGAGTTCGGCTTCACCTCCTTCTCTAACCATTCGAGAGCTCTCCCAATAAGTGAAAAGGGGAAAAGCTTCAATCTCACGAACTCTTGATTCACCCCATTAACCTTGATGGTATTGCAGTACTTCTCAAATTCGTTCAAATGAGCCAAAGGGCTCTCATGCTTGGCACCACTAAACTGCCTTCTCTCGATGAGGGTGATCATAGCCGGCCGGATCTCAAAATCATTGGCCTCAGTAGTGGGTGGGGCAATCCCACTTGAAGCTCTATACGCCCCAGGAGTTCCCAACTCCTTAAGGGGTCGTGGTGCTGGCCGATTGGGTTGGCGCGGTATGTCTGCCATTGGAACCTGTTGTGTGTTGTGTTCCTTTCCTTGAGAGTTTGATGACGTCAATCGAGATTTACGATTGCTCTTCAAAGTTCTTTCGATTTCTAGATCGAAGGGTATTAATTCTCTCTGTTTAGACCTGCGCATACACACTAACCAAACCAATTAAATAGCAGGGCTACAAGTGTAGCCAAAAGGGAAAAATCTTTTTGTGCTTTTTTTTATGATGAACTAGACTCAAGAAATCAAAAAGCAATTAACAAACACCGCTCCCCGGCAACGGCGCCATTTTGACGAGGGTTAAAATGGTCGCTACAATCTAACTCTCAATCAAACAATACTTATACAAACACCCTATAACCAAGTACAATGGCAAATAAAGGTTCGGTCCACGAGGAACGAGAGTAATTGCAAATCAATCTTAAACCTAAGCTAGTTCGAAATCAATGGAAAATGGTGTTCTAAAATACTACTAATAAGATGGAATAAATCAATAAACTAAGACACTAGGGAGAACGGGAATCCGCCTAACCATTGGCAACTAAGCAACAAGGAATCACAGAGACAAACGGGATATGCAAAGACTATAAGTCTGATCAATATCATGTGATAGGAAGACAACGGGCAATACTAAGCTTGGATTTCTCATGCAATTAACATTACTCGATACATAATCAAACCACATTCAATAATGAAATACTCAATTCACAATCTCTTGTTCAAATCAAGGATATCATGCAATCAAATTCAAGATTCTAGGTTAGCTACTCTTATTATAATGAATTAACATGCAATCGCGTATAATCAATTTAATCACAATCCGTTTATCAAAATCAATCCTCAATTACATAGGTTACCTAGGCCGGGTTTCATCCCGAAACCCTAGCTAGGAGACTACTCAAACATATTCATAATCAAAGCAATAACGAATTCCAAAAGCATAATAGATATAAACATGAATTAATAAAGCTTGATTAATAAACAAGAATGAATAATACCAATTGTATTGATGTGAATCAATGGAAAAGTTTAGAACTTTGATATCCGTCGTCAATGAATAATACAAAGAATCTTCGCAAATCTTGCTTCAAATCAATCCAAGAAAACTAAAATCTCTAGAAATATCTCTAAGAAAACTAATGAATCTCTAATACTAAGAACGTTCTCCAATAACTCTCTACAAAGGCTCTCAAAACTATCTCTAAAACTGTCTCCGGAATCCTCTTAAAGTCGGGCCTTATATACGTCTTCTAATTTGGAGAAGTCAAGCGCGCAGTTAACCCTGGATCAGCACGGCCGTGCTGAATTTGGCACGGCCGTGCTAGCTTGTCAGTAAGTAAACCGGATTTCTTCTTCAAATTGGCACGGCCGTGCTATATATGGCACGGCCGTGCAGCTTCCTGGCACGGCCGTGCTAAAAATGACACGGCCGTGCTGAATATGCTCTAGCACGGGGCTCATACTGAAGCTGACACGGGCACGGGCAACATCTGGCACGGCCGTGCTAATGGCCTGCACGGCAGTGCGGGTGCGTGGATACTGACACGGCCGTGCTATTGGCTTGCACGGCCGTGCTGCCTTTCCTGGGGTTGCTTGCTTATAAGCCAGCACGGGTGTGCCTATGGTAACACGGCCGTGCTGCCTGTGCTATGTAATCAATGCACGGCACTTGAACTTCCTTAACTCCTCGGACTCCGGTCAAGGCTAGCTCGGTTACGCATCAAGGGCTCGGGATCCGATTAAACTCGGTTGATATTACCTGAAAACACATCAAAAACAAACCGAAAACCCGTGAAGCACGTAATATGGGGAACGTAAGCATAACAAGGTAATAATCGGCCAAAGCGGCCCCAAATACATCCAAAATCATCCTAAAATATGCTCTAAAGCGCGCCCTAAAGTGCGCTTGTCAATATGTGAATGTAATAATACCGTAGATAGATGCTTGACTCTCACATAGATAGACAGTGCAATATTGCATATCACAATAATACCCTTATGTATTATTGTATAGATATACACCCTTAATAGTCTTTGACATATGACTTATCACCAATAGAGATTTGATTCGTCAGATAGGTGCATCAGGTATTGCCCTTTACAAAAACTGTTTCTTTGTTGGACAGTGTTTATGAGGGAGGATTTATTATTCACTATAGGTGACAGAGTATTGTGATTGGGCAATTTATGCAGCCAAAAGAATAGTATAGAAGATTCATGGAGTATATTAGTTGGCTGAGGCATAGAGGCAATGATTTGACTTTGGCAAAATGGCTTGTTAAACTTCTTGTGCTTTTAGATTGTCATCAATGTGTTTTAATTTGCCCTTAGCTGGAGTCACTTAGAAAGATTTTGGGTAATGCTGATTTTGATGTTATGTAGAAAAATGTGTCTGAATTTTGTAGTAGGGTGACTAGTTTTTGCCCAGTTTTTCTTTTGTTAGGAGTCTGATATTGGCTTATTGCAGTATATATGGCTGCTTATGCCGAGGCATTGAAATTTGTCATCTTTTGCTGAAGTTTTCAGTTATTATAGTGCAGTTTCTTTCCTGATTGTTTTTATTGTTTCTGTGATAATCATTGACAATGATTCCAGTTGATTCATGGCTAATCACTGTCATTGGCCAAGTAATGTATGATTCAGCTGATGAATTTTCTTATTTTGTGTTTTAGCATATGATATTTGCAATTGTTGTCTGGTGTCATACTTTTTAGGTTACTGATGATTAATCTCTATTATTGTTTCCACTGTAAATTCAATTGCAGCCTATGTGTTCTGTGTTTCTGAATTCTGGAAGTCTTATCTTTGGGGGGTATTTTGACTTGCTTTAAATCAAAAGGGGTTGCCAAATGCAAATTTTTAATTTATTGTTTGTATAATTGGCTACATATCTCATTATACCGGTACATTTGGTACTTCCTCTAAATGAAAGTCTGCTTTTACAAATGGTAAGTGTACATTTTGCTTCATGTTGATCACTTTACTACACTTTATCAAATTAGCTAAAACTCTTTGGAAGTGTCCGAGCTTAAGTACCCACAAGGTCACAATTTTTTCGGGTCCAACTTTCATAGAAAACCATCTCCTTTCTCAGTTTACCTCTTGTTTTTAGCCTTGTTTTTTTTCCTGTTTGATGGGTTTTAATTGCTGTGTTATATTCTATTTTCTGGTATGCTGGTTGATATCTCCTCCATCAGATTCATAATTTCAATTGGTAATATATACCAAGGCCTGGGCTTTTTGATGCCATGTGGTGGTGATACTTAGCTGTTTTGTTTCAATTATATCATTGAACTAGAGTTGGATGAGACACAGAGTTTTGGCTTGGCTGTTATTGAAGATAGCAATAAAAATCAATCACGCATGACTAATTGATATAAGTCTATTCGTGATTACAAAGTCTATTTGTAATTACAATTGCATATGGTATTATTTCCATTTATTCTTACATTGCTGCAAATAAAGGGGTTCGGCATACACTTGATACATGGGAAAACTGTTCAGATAAATCTTTCTCAGTACTGTTTTTAGTTGGTGATAGCAGTTTTATGAAACTCCAGAAGAGTCAAATCATATGCCCGAACCATGGCTTGGATGCCTTTAAATCCTGCTGCCTTTGCAAGTGCCTGAAATTCTCCTGCAGTCCTCTCTTTTCCTCCAGCATTCATATTTGTCAGGTACACATCAAACTGAAACACACTTCGGCTGCCAATGTTACTATCTGGGATATCTGGTATTACAAGCTCCACGGTCATGAGTTTTCCACCATCTGGTAATGCCTTGAAGCAGTTCTTAAGCACGTTCAAGCACTGCTCGTCGTCTAGATTTTTTAGTACCCACTGTCATATTACAGAAAGTCAGAAATGGGATTTGTTTTAGCAGTTCTTAATAAATTAAGTTGCGATAGTATGATTACGAAAGGTACTGAATCTTGTTATAAATAGGAAATCACAATTACCTTCATGAATATTGCATCTCCTGTTGGAATGGTTGTGAACATGTTGCCTGCAATGTGCTCGATTCCAGCACGAACGGGCTGCTTCTCAATTATGGGTGGCAAGTCGAAGTTGATGCCTTTAATAGCTGGATACTTCGATATAATTGCTTTAAGAATCGAGCCATTTCCACCCCCTACATCCACAACCGATTCTAGGCCTTCGAATCCCTTGTACTCGTTCAGAATCTTGTTTATAAACAAGGTATTGAACTCTTCCAGGGCATCAAAGAAGATTGAAGCAAATCTTTCATCTTTCTCGATAGATTCCTTGGGATCCTTGCCATATGCTTTCGCCAGTGGAACTTCCCCTTCAAGAACTGCATCTTTCATGTGGTACCTGTGTAATACATCATTCAATACTTATTCTTTCGAATCAAACCAAACAAATCCTTTACATGATGAATCTATCGGGTCGAATAGCTTTATGCATCGCTTGGGTTTCAAAACTAAATAAACAAGGTTGAAGTATGAAAAACTATCAGAAAATAAATGAAAAGTTGTTAATTCAATTACCAAACATTTGTCATGAACGGGTCGTGGATCATGTTGAACATCGGTGCTAAAGAGCCTTGACCATCTTTGCTTTGAAGGAAGTGCCGTGAAAGCGGAGCTAAAGCATATAGCCTTTGAGTTTGACCATCATTATGACTGTGGTCATGATCATCAGCAACAGAGCAAGACACAACAGAGTATGAGCTGAGAAGGCGGAGGATGCGATCTATCATCTGTGATGTTCGGGAGTGATTGTTCGTGTTTGGAGCAAGACGAGCAGCAATATCGGAAGGTGAAAGACGAGCACTAGATCCTGCTTTCTCCATGATCTCGAAAAGACCGAGATCCATGGCAGCCTTCAATGCCATAGGCAATGCAATTGCGGTTGTCAGCTGCATGGCTTGGTGTATGTTACTTTCTTCCTCCATCAAAGATTGCATCTTCTTTAGTCTATTATTCTGCTTAACAATTAGCTAATTTTTTGTTTGTAAAATGTTTGATTAAACCAAGGATATATAGATATACAAATATTAAGGTTGTCAAAAAAAAAAAAAAAAAAAAAACTAAAGTACTACGCATATATTAAACCTCACATTGGCTGCTTAGTAGGTGAGTTTTGTCTAGTTTTTTTTTTTCTCTTTTTTTTTTCTGCAAGATGTACTTTTTCGTTTTTTTATACGTTTTTTTGGTACTAAAAGGCTTATCGTTATTAATGGATTGATAACATAAGTTCTGGTGATTGTTTTGAATTTCATCATATTACTAGTTGAAAACAAAAACTAAGAATTTTATTTGCCCCGTCTATTATTTGTCTTCTTATTGGTGGGTCTAAATATATGACTAATTAATCAAATTTGTTCCTTAACGACTATTAAGGGGGTCAAAGCAGTCTATCTTGACTATTCATGGCAAAGATACGCCAATTTGAAACTTATGCAATATGTTAAAGAACTTTCAATCATTTAAAAGAGGTGTCAATTCAAGTTGATAGTTTGATTTTTTGAGTTGGGTTAATTGGTTAGTGGGTTAAGATAAGTTGGGTTAATCGATTTGTGGGTTAAAATGGATTGGGGTGAAACTTAATTATATAGTTAGCTAGTTTGGTTTGGTTATGAAACTATCAGGTCGATTTGGATCAAGTGCTATTTGATCATGTTAGTTCGTAATGGGGTTAGATCAAATCCATATTGCATAGAAAAGGGTAAGAATGGCAATGAAATTAAATGGGTTTAAACAAGTTTTGATTCATATTGGGCCGGGTCATAAACAATTTAGGGTTTCACGTAATGGTTTGGAGAATGTTCGTTCATAGAAGAATCGGGTTTATTGAATTTTGTGTTAAAATTAGTCTAGTCATCATATAGCTAGTCGAGTCAAAAACACTTTGAGTAATTAAGTTGTGGATTGAAACATGTGCATTTGGTTGGCGAGTCGGTTTAGGTATGACATTATAACATCAGTTATTTTAATAGGTAGGATTATATTTGATGTCGGCGACATATTTTTGGTTGTTAACGAGCCATATCTGGTTTAGGTATGGTTCATATCAGCTCAGCATTTAAACAGGCTGGTCTAGTCATTTCATGTATTGAAATATGTATGATTCATCGCAGACTCCTATTTCGTGTCAATGAATAACCCCTCATTTCCATTACTAGAGAGGGGGCGGGAAAGTTTAGTTGTCGAAAGACTTGCCAAAATTACTACTACATCTATTTTTCTATATTCATCCGTTTTTCTAAGTTCTACTCATTTTTACTTTATTCTTTTTTTAACAATTTTTTCTTTATTTTTAGGAAAAATTAACATGAATAATCTCAACTTTGCTCGATTCGCTCAAAATAATCCCAACTTTCGATTATTTTTTAATAATTCGAATTTTAATATGAATTTGCTTCCAATTGTCCCAGGTGACCAATAACCTATTGAATAGGTAATTTAAAAAAAAATAAAAAGTTTAATGTACACATGTCATTATGTGATTGGTTACAAATAAGTTCAATTCAATTTATATTTATATTATTGGTTTAATTAATTAATTAACTTTAAAAATATTATTAAAAAAAAACAACCAACTCAACCAGGCAACTACTGCCACCGCCAACCAGCCTGAATCCCTTGACCGCCGCCGGCGCCTAGCTAACCCACTCCCTGGTTGGCTGGCTCCCATCCCGCCGGCTCAATTCCCCCCTTCCCTACCGGCGAATCCGACCCTACCCCTCTTCTCTTTCCGACTTTCCGTTTGGTTTTCTTGGTTTAATTTATCCCTTTTGTTAACATTTACATATTAGGTCATACCTTGCTTTTATATGTAGAAAATGGTGGCGCGTCGGGATGAGGGAATTTGGGGAAGATGGTGACGCATCGGGGTGGGGGAATTTGGGAGGATTGTAGATCGGGGTGGAGGAAATCAGATGATGGTGACGCATTGGGGTAGGGGAATTTGGGGAGGGGAGAGGGGTGGTGAGGTTGTCTTCGCCGGCAGGGGAAGGGGGGAAACGCGCCATCGGGATCCGCTAGCCGGGGAGTGACCAGCTAGGCGCCGGCAGCCGAGCTAGGGTGCGGCGGTGCTGAGCTGGTGGAGGGTTTTTTTTTTTTTTTTTTTAAATTTAATTTTTTTTCTTAATTAATTATTTTTTAATTGATTTTTTTTTTTTTTTACATTTTAGTTGATTTTTTTAATTTAAATTTATTTATCTTTATTTTTTTGACTAATCACATCCTGACACTTAGGTGACTTGTTATAACAAGTTTTATAACCGGTTGGGACCATTATAAGAAAATTCACATTAAAGTTCGAATTATTAAAAAATAATCGAAAGTTAGGATTATTCCTGTCAATTTTTCCTTATTTTTATCATCCACAATCCCACTATATAGGGCCTAATTATATTTGACAAATATCTTAATCTTTTTATCTCTCTTCACTTAAATACAAAAGCACCACATGTATGGTCCTCATTTTTACTTCCTTTTGGTTTGCGTAGCTACAGTAGCCGAGTAAGAATCAACAAAACAGAGAAAACACTCAACATAGAGATATTAAGCACACAAACAACCTATTAATTAATTCAAGACTAGTTGTTCAAAACCTTAACTCAACCTGAAGCTCATTCAAAACACAAAGCTAACCGGTAATTTTCAACGGTCCTTTCTAAAGGAAAGATGTCTTTTGGTCAAGTGTATTATTTCAATAAATAGTTTAAATAATTATACCACTAATTATTCAATGAGATCAAGTGATCGGAACAAGAAAACTTTTAGTTACCGGAAGATTCCCAAAATTACTACTTAATATTCTTAGAGATATTAAGCGCACAAATAACCTATTACTTAACTCAAAACAACTTGTTTAAAGATCGGCCTTAACTCAAGCTCAAGCTCAACCTTATTCAAAACACAAGGCTTATAGGTTTTTTTTTTTTACTGTCCCTTCTGAAGGAAAGGTGTCCTTTGGTCAAATGTATTATTCAATAGATGGTTTAGAAATTATTCAGTGAGATCAAGTGATTACAACGTCTAGCTACAGGGGCGCCTCCGATCTCAGTGAGATCAAGTGATTGGAATGTTTAGTCGGAGGTTGCTTCAATTTAGTGCGAATAATATTTAATTAGTCTCACGGTTCACTCTTGAGTGAATTTATTGAGTCACACCTAAAACACGAAATTAAATCAAATTGACTGATTGGGTCAAATAAAAAACAAATACATTATTAACTTAAGTCACATATAGATTTCGTCGTTAGATATCAGGCTTTGATGCGCTAAATTCAATGTTTATCATTATTACTAGCCGAATGGTCCTAAAGCTCACAACATACACCAGCAAGGGCTCAAGGCCTTGCACGACAATCACCAGGTTAAGCTCTTAGTCGAGTTGGTCCTTTAACACATGGTGTGTTGAGGCCCTAGGACCGTCGGCTTGCTGGCAGCCGTCACAGGTAGGGCACAAGGGGGAAGTACCAACAACACCGTACTCCAAGGCCACGTAGCGAGCTAGCCGATGACTCGATGAACATGGGTCTATGTCCTACTGGGTTGTGGTGGAGGCATGTAGCCCTACCACACCGCGCGTGTACAAGTGAATACCACTTTTTTTTTTGGTGTTTAAATTAAAGAGCCACAAGGGCGCGGGTGATGAGAATCGATCCTAGGATATCCTAGAATCGGGAGGAAAGTTCTAACCACTTGAGCTTTCCTTCATTCTCACTAGAGAATACCACTCTCTGATTATTCCACGCATGTTTATTCTTCTAGGTTTTGTTTTAGAAAAGGGTGCACCAAAGCAATGTGCTCCAGGGTCTATAATATAACACCATAGATAAATGGAAAAATACAACAAAGCAGTTGGTGGCGCCAGATTAATTGTGACTTGGCGTATCAGGCGAAGAACCTAATTTTAAGGGTGTGGATTCTATCGTCTAGTTGTTGTATGGATTAAAAAGTAGTTATGTTTTTTTTTTTTTATTCCTCTTATTGTTTAATGTAGGTATTTATTTATTGTAATTAAATTAAACTACCCGCAATGCCGTGATTTGTTCTTCTCTTTATTGAGTAAGGTCAGTTACTCAGCATCTTTTGTGTCATGAAATTTTTCTCTTTCCAATCACACAAAGAAGAAAATAAAGAAATTCCGTTCAAAAAAAAAAAAAAAGAAAATAAAGAAATTATGAATATTTTTTTTAAGGTCAAGATATTAGTGATATACTAGCTCTTTGCCCGAACAACGCTCAGATATTCACTATTTTTTTTTTAAATTACTCTAAGTTTGTATTTGTTTATAGGTTTTATATACATTTGAATATCTATTTACGTTAGCAATTATCATGTGACATGTTAATATAGTGTATCTCTATTTTTGTAGTTTGCTGATAAATTATGAATTTAAAATTGAGTTAGAAACCATTTTTATAGTAGGACATGAGCGATTTATTTTATAGATTTACAAATGATGATTCAAGGGAATATAGAAGATTTTCTAATCTTAATATACAATTAGAACTTTTTTAGTTTGGTGGTTTTTTTATTTGCAACAATAACTTCCATTGAATTGATTTAGAAATTTAAAGGATGAAAATCACTAATTTGCTATGACTTTACGTTGTTCGTTATGTTTAATATTTTTCAATCAATTATTATTCACATTTATTATTTATTTATTAAGAAAAGAAATAATATTTTATTTATTTAAGGTTGTTGTTATTGTTCTAATTTTTTAGTTGTTAAAGTTGTAGATTATTTTTTTACAAAAAAATAATTATCTTATTATTTTGTAAGGAAAAAAATTTGGCGGGAATTTTTTTATTGTAGAAGCGACATGTGTACTTTTGGGATAAGGCTGGTGATTGCTTTAGTATATAAGACTAAATAAGTCCGTGCGATGCACAGTTTGTTTTTATTTTTTTAAAACAAATAGTTGTTGTATTTTTGTGATAAAATGTTATTTTATTCATTAACATAGTATATCATTTAATATTTTTAATTAAGATAAAATTCCTAATCTCAAAAGATGATAATTTATATCTAATTAATTTAAACTTAAAAATCTTATTCGCCAATCCGTCAATAAAACCATATTTTCGCTTTGCCTTTAATGAGGTTACGGATAGCCCTCGCCCACTCATCATAGTCTCACCCCGAAGTTGAATCGGAGTAATGATATTCCCGGGTCCATCGCTTGAACCTAGGTGATAAGTCATGTCAACCTTAGTTTTTCCTCCACCGCCTAAGCCGCCACCACCGGAGTCACCAGTCATCGATCTCTCACAACTCAAGGAAGAAATGATAAAAAAATTCGTCTCACAAATTCACAAGAAACATGCGTCAATTATGTAAACTGTACGTACAAAAAAGGAAAAAAATTTAGATCTCAACTAGGCTCTTGATACCATGTTAAATTAATCATAAATCTCCAAATATTCAGTGTATTCTCATTCATCTTCTTGGCCACAATACAAGTATATATAATACAAGGGTTAACATTACCCTAATATTCCACAATATTCTATCATATCTTCACATAAGATATTCTCCATATATATATCACAATAATATCCTAGTATAATAACAATATCCTAGAATCTCAATAAATAGGCTTCTAATAAAGGAATGGAGGGAGTACTAAAATACACATAAATCAGTGTAATTAATAAAAATATATTTCATTAATACTTTCATCTTGTAGCTTATTATATAACTCTTTGGACTCTGTATAACAGTTTTCAATGTTGATTTAATGGTTTACTAAACATTGAAAAATGTTATATATAGTCCAGAGAGGTATATGTAACAAGCTAAAAGATGAAAGTAATTTACAATGTTTATTTAATGATTTTCTAAGAGTGAAGGACCGCTTAACTGGTTAGATTGGTTTTAGGGAATCTTAGGATCGATTCTTATTATCCGTTTTTATAATACCAAAATTATTTCATAATACGTATAAAATCAAAATTTATGTATATTACTCCCTCTGTTTTGCAATAAATACTAATTTAATTTTCTGTAATCAAAGTCATACAACATTTAACAATCCTACTCTGTAGTCTGTACTTGTATCTTCCGGAGTTCCGGTAATCTAGAACGGAGTATAGGCCTATTACGTATAGGCGAAGGTGAAGCCATAAAGGTGTGAAGCAGTCAATAGTCAAAATGTCAAAACAGATCAAAGAGTTAGGTTTTCCTTTTATTTTATCTATATTTTTCTTCTTTATTTTTAATGTTTTTAAAAAAGAATTACTAGTATAAACCTTAATACCTTGTTAAGCGCACAACACTTGTAAGCCAAAATTCATTCCATTTACTCCGATTCTCAAGTTCCTCACCACACACTTTCTCTCTCTCTTTCCACAATCATACTACCCACATTTCTAAAAGCCCACCACACCACTCCCTAAAATGCTCAAACTCCTCAACAAAAACGTCCGGCTTCTTTGCCGCCGTCTCCGGTGGTCCTCCCGCCGTCACTCCAACCCCAAAATCGTCATCAAAAAGTTCCCTAAACCCGACGACTTCGACCCTCATTTTAACCACTATAATGATAACAATAACAATAACAATAACAACAATAATAACGATGATAGCATTCAGTTGAAACCACTGAACCCAAAACACGCGACCGTGTACCCGAACACTCAAATGAGTAATACCCGAAAACCAATCCGAATCGCTACATTCAATGCTGCCCTTTTTTCTATGGCACCCGCCGTCGTTCCAAACTCCGACGATTTTTCCAGATTCCAAAAACGTCCCTCTCAAAGCTTCAAGGCTAAATCATTAAATGATCGCCCTAAAAGCATCCTTAAACAATCTCCTCTACACCCAAGCACCAAATCTAATAGTAATACCCAAAACAACAGCAACAATAGCAGTAATAATACTAATGCTGCTGCTGATTGTTTAACAAAACAACAGAAATTCGCAAAATCAAGATTAAGGGTATCGATCAATTTGCCTGATAATGAGATATCCCTAGGGCGAAGCCGAAGAATCGGGTTCGCCGAAGAGGGAAGTACGCCTACGAGGTGTTTATCAACAGGCCGAAATGATACTGATGGAGGAGAACGATTTTTGAGGAGTAATAGAGCAATCGTTGATGTGCTGAGAGAGCTTGATGCAGATATACTTGCGCTACAAGATGTTAAAGCAGAAGAAGAGCGAGAAATGAAGCCACTATCGGATTTGGCTGCTGCATTAGGAATGAATTATGTATTTGCTGAGAGTTGGGCGCCTGAATATGGAAATGCTGTTCTTTCTAAATGGCCTATTAAGAAGTACAAAGTTCAGAAGATTTTTGATGATACTGATTTCAGGTTTGTCTTTTTAATTTTTGATTTTTGCTCTGTTTTCCTCTGTTTTATGTACAGGTTTTTTTTGTTTAATTTTTGTATGTTCATTCTTTGTTTTTGTTGTTGTTGTTCTCTGTTTTATCCTCTGTTTTGATATGATATGCCTGGTATATTGTACTTTAATCCTTGGTTTTACTGTGAGTTTGTGAGAATAATATAATTCCATTCGTCATTAATAGTCACATACTACGTATATTCGTAAATATTTAGTGACAAAAAAATAAAAAATGTATTTGTTCTAAAATAGAAAATATTGTCCAATGTGATAAAATTATTATCTCAATAAAATATTTCACAGAAGATAATAATTTTTTTGTATTTACTAAGATATTAACTTTTTTTTAATAATGTAATAACAAAAAATTGATTGATATTTTACATTTTCGAATTAGACATATAATATAGTTGTTGAACACAACATTTATTTTATGGTCATATCTAATACTCCATTAGTCTAATAAACAAAATAAAAATGAATTTGAAAAAAAAAATTAAAATGATGTTTTAAAGTAATTTCTTTAATATCAATTACTTTGATGTGAATCAATTTTATTATTACTTTTTTGGTAAAACTCAATAATACTCTTTTAAAAGATAATTTAAAAAGAGTTAGAAAACTATTTTAGGTAAATGCGCATGGAAAATTTTAGAATTCAATAAAAAAGAATACATTTTATATAGAGATTATATATAAGTTTGGAATTATATTATTTAGTTTTATTATAAAAATATTCCAAAAATATTTTTATAATAAAAGGGGAGGGGGAGTTTTGGAGGAAAAAATAACACCATAATGTGACACATGTCACTCCCGATGTCTGTTTTATTATTAAGTTATTGATTTGTTACTTATATGCAGACTAACCCATCATAATTGTTAAATGAATGGTTGAGAACATAATAGACAGGACGGAACTATGATTAATGATGCACCGTGCAAGTATGTTAACTTGTATGATCTTTTAATTTTAAGGGTTGGAACACGGTAACTATTAATTCACCTACATGTATAAAGTACTCCATACTTCATATATCATATGTTAAACACTCACTTTTTCACTCAAGTCATTAAAAAAAAAAAAAAAAAAAAATCCCCTAATTTTTTATAGTTTAATTTTTATGATGAGAAGAAGACTCATCTTGATATAAAAGATTTTAGAAAAATTTCTCTTATAATGAGATTTGACCTCTACCTTCGCATCTCAAAGTCTGAAACTTAGCTAATTATCCTAGCCTTCTATATTTAAATATAACCCGTAATTAGAAAAACTGTCAATGTCTTCACCAGCTGTAGCAAAAAAACTTGTTGGTGATGTCTAGCACATCTCAATATCCAGTACCTTTGAAGGAGTTGTCTTCTTCGAATAATATATTCAAAGTAAACAAGCTAAAAAGCTTCTACTACTTTTTATTTTGGAAAAAGGGGTACCTAATCTTTGGCATCTTTTGAAATGATAACTTCGTTAAAAACTTGAGCATGAAGATTCTTAGAAAGTTCACTAAAGACTACTTCCACCTCGATCATCTATGCTAGGATAAGAATTTTGGAAATGTCACTAGTGCCATTATTATATCCATACTAGTTAAATTTTAATTGTTTTTTTTCCGGATCGTTTTCAATTGGGTCAGTTTTTGACATCTGTAATAAAATTATACAATCTCTATTTTGAAAATTTGTTGGCAATGAGCTTGGATTATTAAGAAAATGTTAGTTATTTTGTCTGTACTACATGTCATGATATTAAGGGTGAAGATATTATAACTTAATTATGATTAAGAAAAAAATATCAATTCATAGGGTGTCATTGTATTTTTTTTATGTTAGGGGTTGCCAATCTTGCCATATACTCCCTCTCTCCCTATTTTTTTGCCCCATTTGATTGTGAAAAACGGTCACCAAGACGTGTCTTAAAATGTCTATATCTTTATTTCCACACACCTAAAAATTATAAAAAGTAATATCAATAAAAAATACAATGAGACGAATCTAACAAGACCACTCATGATTATATTATCTTTTATGAATTAACTAATTTATAATTAAAGTTTTCAAGGTTTGACTCGAGAAATGGCAATGGAGCAAAAATAAAGGGAGGAGGGAGTATATTGTATTGGCTAGTAGATTGTTGTAGTATGTGAGCTTTGTGTTTGTCCTGGTTTCATTTTCATAACTTAACTATTAGAAAAACCATCACTAGATAGAATAGACACTCCGTCTAATTAGCGTGTTCATTTCTAGTATATAATGTGTAAAGGATGTCTTGGACACACTGTCAATCCAACGGGTAACACGTAGTAGCTTGAATACTCACAAGTTTCTTAATGACATTATTGCATAATTGAATGACCTATGTAATTTTTTTCTCATTAATTATAAAAATACAAAAGAAAAAAAAAAAAAAAAAAGGACAAATATCAAGCTCTCAACATCCACATATTATCGAAGAAAAAATAATCTGTTTTTTTTTTTATAACTTATGGAATTGCATTAGGCCCTTTAGTCTCATATACAGTACTTAATAGGATATTTAATTCTAAATTGTATTGAATAAATTAAACAATTCATATGTCAATTTTAGAATGTATGCCGAAAACTACACATTCATTTATTTTAGATGTCAATTCTGTATGTTCACATCACACATGTATTCATATACGTAATTGTTTTTTTTTTTTTGAAACAATATACGTAATTGTTTTAATACAACTATAAATAAACGCATACATAATAAATAAAGAAAATGAAAACAGTCATTATGCTCAATAAGCTAGAATATTTGCTGTCCAACTAAAGTGGCACAAAATTCTAACAAGAGCAAGCTTAAAAGTGGCATCAACTTAGAAAAAAGCTACCTAATCATATGTGCTTTTCCGTGAGGCTAGAATCCAATCCCGAAAACTGTAACTTCTCAAAAAATAAAAAATGGCCATAAAAGGGAGTCATCACATTTTCTAGATGATGGGCGATTAATTATGAATGAATATTGAATAGCCCATAATATTTCTTGCTTTCAGAAACATGGATAGGTAATGTCCTTTATTTGTGGGTCATCATTTACATACTAGTTTTTCGTTGGTCCGCACTACTTATATAAAGTATTTTTTAAGAGTCACGGATTAATTGATGTGCATTAACAAGTTGTAAACTTGGTCCACTTAACATCAAAATCTAGAGGTCGCAATTTTGCTATTCAGGTTATCGATCGGGTTCAGGTTAGCTGGTTAGATCTATTTGGATGGAGTTATTTTTAATTTGAGTTATGTATATTATACCTATAAATTAATTTTGCATCAAGTCATTTCATCTATAAACTGAGTTATTTTAGGTTAGGACAATTTTTGACATTTATATAAAATCAGCTTGGTTATTAAATAAATTAATAATAAAAAACAATTGGTAAATAATTGAGAGGATTACAACTGTAGATACGGTAGGGTAGTTGACGTACGCGGCATTGGACATTTCTGTTGTGTTTTGTCTAAGGCAAAGCCACTTATAATCAACTATCCTTTATTCCAATAATGGGTTGGCTTTATCATGTTTTCTTGGATATTTTAAAGGAAAATTTGCAATCAATGTACAAATTGTCCTTCATTAGAGTTGTCATGCAATTTGGGAAAGGTGGTACCTTTTTTTGACGCAAAAAATAATCAACCTTAACAATGTGTTTGGTTAGCAATTATCGTGGGAGGGAGAGGTGTGAAAGATGGGGGCCTTAGGGTGTACAGTCACATGGACAAAGTAACAACTTTTGTTTTATCATGCGAAAGATACAATAAGAGAAGGAATGAATGTGCACACTTTTTTTTTTTTTTTTTATTGAAATGATTTATTTATTACGGAGTAAATAGGAACGTATTTGGATAGCTCATCAGCTAGAGAATTTAAAGTTCAATCAATAAACTCTTGTGTGGAATCACCAATGCAGGCATTAATTATGGTGAATTATATGATCATTGAACTAAATAAACATTAACATTTGAAGAAAGAGATATATCGATTGAATAATATATTAGATTTGAATGACTTGTGCTACACTTCAAATAATTTAATGCTAAAATCTGTATTAGATTTGTAGGAAAATACGTTGATTTAAATTCATTTTGCTAAGTTGAGTTTTCTAATAAAAACTAGCTTTCAAACTTTAGTGATTTGGGCATAACTTATAATTTTCCTCAGTGCTAATCAATTCTCCAAGATTCAAATAATTACTCTTGAAGGAATACATGATTTCCTTCAAAAATAAGCAAATATTCCATTCTAAGTCAATATTTATGTCATTAGATTAATAGAATTATCCTGATTCCTAAGTCAAGTTTATACCTTACCAACTAGCTACCATTAAGCTTTACTAGTTTAGCTTCCCTAGATAGTCAATAATATCAAATTCACACTCAAATATGATAAAAAAATAGGGGTGGGTGAGGTGTATCTTACAGCTCAAATGCTCAATAACTGTTATGTGAGTAATCTAGTTTCTTTCGAAAGAGTAACACTAAATGGTTAACAACAAATATTTTTTTCCTATTCACTAACTACCGTTTAACCATTTATTATATTTTTTATTGTGAGTAGAGCTGTCAAAAGCTGACCCGATCCAAAAATTTTACCCGAATCTGATCATGACCTGACTTGTTTAAACCCGAAAAATTGGTGACCCGAACTCGATATGACCCGACTTGAAATCAACCCGAGACCCGAGTTAACCCTAGGATTAGTGACTCGAACCCGAACATGACTTGACCTGAGATGACCCGACTCGAACATAAACCCATCAATTATTGACCTGAATCGATCCCGACCCGAACCCGAGATTGACCAAAAGCTGTTTTGACCCGTCGAAACCTGAAATTAACCCGACCTGTTACTAACCCGACTCGAATTCAACCTGACTTGGATTCAACCCGACCTGTTACTAATCCGAGTCGAATTCAACCCGATATATTTTTAACCCAACCCAAACCTGATGTAACCCGACCCGAATAGTAATGCAATTAACTCAAATTTACCCAAACCGAGCAAACTCGACTCAAACACTCAAATTGACAAATCTACCTTTAACATTGCTTAAACATTGATTCTTTTAATTAACTTTTCCACACCACACACATATCTTAACTTTTATACTCTTATCTAATATAGCTAGTAATTTATTTTAGCACATTAATTAATGCTTTAAAATGTTTCCCCAAATGAAGCTAGTTAATTGAGAAGGATTGTAATCTGAATCATAAAGCTAATAATAAAGAATGGAGTATTAAATTGGCAATACATGAACTATTAACAAACCTACCTGAAAAATGTACCTGAACTCGATATGACCCGACCTGAAATCAACTTGAGACCGAAATTAACTCAATATATGAGACCCGAACCCGAACATGACCCGACCTTGTAATGACCCGACCTGATTATAACCTGCAAATTATTGACTTGAACCGAACCCGAGAATAACCCGAACTTGTTTTTACCCGTTAAAACCCGACCTATTATTCACCCGACCCGAATGTAACCCGACCTAAACCTGACCCAAACCCGATAAGATATATGATCTGACGTGACCCGACTCAAGCATGACCCAACCCGAACCCGACCCGACCCGCATAGGTTACGACATTAACCCGAATTAACTCGACCTGAGTTGACCTAACCCAAACTAACCCGACCCTTACCTGAATTAACAGCTCTTATTGTGAGTTATACGTAAAAATGAATATAATCTTGTGGGGCCATGGGGGTATTTTTAGATTAATCTAGATATATATTTTCAAAATATCAGTTGTAAATAAACTTCACTCGTTCTTATTTAAACTTAATCATATAACAAAGGTAGAAAATATATTAGGATGCATGAAACTTCAATGAAAGAAGTATTAAAATACGTAGCATATGTTCTGTAAAAAAAAAAAAAAAAAAAAAAAAAAAGAAGAAAAAAAAAGGTATTATATTATGTATCTCTTTCCAAATCTCAGTTGGGATGGGATTTACATGGATATGGTTGTTAGTAATATATTTTTGTTGTTGCAGTTCACCTGCTTCAACTACATCTGACAATGGGACCATTGTGCTGATGTCTTCTATTTTTAATATCATGATATAAGCAATGCAGTATTTTTTTTATCTTATTTTGTTTAAATTATTTTTAATTTATATGATAAGGTTGAATACAGAAAATATACTGAAAAAAAGTTATTAAAAAATGGTATTTGGATGCAGGAATGTTCTAAAGACAACAATTGATGTACCTGAAGTGGGTGAAATGAATTTTTACTGCACTCATCTTGATCATTTAGATGAAAATTGGAGAATGAAGCAGATTAATGCTATTATTGAGTCTAATAATGAACCTCATATTTTAGCTGGAGGTCTTAATTCCTTGGAAGAATGTGATTATTCACAAGAAAGATGGACTGATATTGTCAAGGTAATTATTTCTACCCTTTGAAATTTTATCATTGTGGGATTGGATTGCGCGAATGTCTAGAATTTGTTGTTACGTTGATAGTGTAATTTGTTCGATGCAATATAATGACTAAATTGTGATGTACATGTTTTACAGTACTACGAAGAAATTGGAAAGCCTACCCCAAAAACGGAGGTGATGAGGTATTTGAAGGACAAGGAGTACACAGATGCTAAGGAGTTTGCAGGGGAATGTGAATCGGTAGTCATGATCGCGAAAGGCCAAAGTATGAAACCCCCTAATTTACTTAACAATTTTGTTACACATTCTTTAATTTGTTAGGCTTCGTGAAATTCTAACGTGTGTTGTTTATTTTCATAAGGTGTGCAAGGTACATGTAAATACGGAACTAGATTGGATTATATACTAGCATCTTCAAACCTCGGATACACATTCGTGCCCGGATCATACGCAGTTACATCGTCCAAGGGAACATCGGATCATCACATAGTGAAGGTCGACTTATTAAAGAAAAAAGAAAACGTTCAAGAAATTGCCACGAAAAAGAAGCAACAACAACCTAAGAAAAGAGTAGTAAGAATAACAGCTAGTTCGCCATCAAAAGGCATTTGGAGCACAGACATGAGATAACCCTAATTATATAATTTCAATTTTATTTTATTTGATTTATTTCTTTCATTTTTGTAGCTTAATTAATGTGTAGAGTTTTTGCTTATTGTTAATTTATAGGAGAGTACAATAAATAATCTGAGTGTGTTACTTGTACTATTTTCTAGTGAGCTTAATTATCTACCAATTTTCCTTATTTTTTTCTCATTATATTTTAATTTTTTTTGGCATGTTTGTACAAATTAATTTTATTTGATTAAGTGGGTGCTGCATTGATATACTGATACAGTGAGATCTTTTGCATCTTATACAGTACATGATTAGGTTAATGTTGTTAAACTAACTTAACCTACTTTATTAAAATAAATAATACAAAGTAGTTTTAATAATTGTCATTGCCCCGTCAAAAATAATTGTCATTGCTTGTGTCATTAAGTAAATTTTGCTATGTTAGGACTTAAAGGCCAACTGACCAGATTGGTAGAAAAAAAAAAAAGATCCATATTTTGGTAAAAAAATAACTCCGGCGACAATTTGATTAAAAATATAAACTCTATACAACAATTTTGTAACAAAAAAAAAGCCGGCATTTAGACAAAAAAAATCTATTTTTCAGACACACTCCAACATTCCTAATTTAATTCCTTTTTTGTGTTTTTAAACTAAAATTGTCACTAGAGGTAATTTTTTTTTTCTTTTTACCAATTTGGTCAATTGTTCATAACTTAATGTTTTTTTTTAATTTTTATTTAATCTATTCATAACCCGTTGAACATGGACCAAAGTCTAATATATACTCCTAATATATACTCCGTATCAAAATATATTTGTACTATCTCCGGAATTTTATGTTTTTTTTTTTAAGTGTTATAGTTTGATCGGCATTATGTTATAGGAAGACCAGGTTAGCCTTTGTTTAGCTCACCTTATTTCAATACCTTATTACTTTTCGGATCAAGTAAGAATAATAAGTTTAAATTAGAAAATATAAGTTATGAACATACTTTTATCGTATCAATAAGTCTTGTATAAGGTAGGCTTATGTTAATTTTATTGTAAGACGGTCAATTTTAGGGTAAGTTTAACAATTTTTATGGTAACTTTAATTCTTTCAGGGTAACTTTTAATTTGTAATGAGTTTAATGGTATTTTAACGTGTAATTTTCTGATGAACACATGCTATTAAGGCTGATATGATTAATCTAATACATTTAAATATTTTTAAGGGTAAAATTTATGTTAGGAACACTAGGCGAAGAAACGAATTCCCCACCGGTTCAAACCCCCCCTTCCCACCGGTTTTGAACCGGGTTGGATTGGGGGGCGCTAAAACCCCATGGATTTCGCACCGGTTCTAAACCGGTGGGAAAAAGACTTTTCGCACCGGGTCTTGCTTTGAACCGGTGCGAAAAGTCACAAAAAAATTTATAAAAAAAAACTTTTAGCACCGGTTATGTTCCAAAACCGGTGCCAAAAGTGCCCTAAAAAAATAAAAAAAAAGTTATCTTTTTTTGCATTTTTTTCACTTAAATTGATACATAAACACTAACATATATATAAAGTAACATATTTTCATTATAAAAGGCTGTAATATTACAATTTTCGTCAAAAAAATAAATAACATACAATATGATAGAAATACCATATTGATAATAACAGTTGATGGTGCATCTGAAGTTATCTGCCAAAACTGAAGCTGTGCATCTGATTCTGCTAAATATTCAGTCCTTTGCTCCACAAAATTGGCATAATATTTCCATAAACATCAGTAAAATCGAAGCCAAGATTACGATAACAACCAAGTAGTCATGACATCTCTGCTGCCACTTTAACTCCCTTACTCCCATGTTAACTTTCTCTACTGGATTCTCCTCTTGTGCTTTTTCTACAGCTTAGGTGTTGTTACTCTTCTGTCCAATATCACTCTTTGCCCTGATAATAACCGGCTTTAGCTTGTAATCTGAGTGTGTAAAACGAACCATCAGCGCGTTATCTGTTTCACTTCGTTTTAAGATCTTTTGCTTCTTCTCTTGAACCTAAGCTACTAGTGCCAAGAACTCCTCTCTCCCTCGAGTTGAGAATGGATTCTCCTTGTGTTTTCAAAGCTCTGGTGTCGATTTTCTGTTAGTTTCAGCTTCATGATGGAGTCCACAACTCACACAAACACAATATTTTGCCATTATGTAACTGATAATTGAGAATCACTCGATTGTATAAAAGACAACTTTATGATATAAATAAGAAGAAAAAATAAGAACTTTAAATATGAAGGTATGTACTATGTAGCATGATGAATCTGTGATTAAAGGTGGAATATGGTGTGAATCATCAAAAGTAAATGTTGAATTTGTATAATTTTCACCGACTTTTTTATACATTTGCATTGTGCGCCTTCCAGCATAGGCATTCTTTATCTACGTAAGGAATGGGTAGATGTTGAAATCCTACTTACTATATATAGATGCTTAAAATAAAGACAATATATTAATACAAAGTATTCATCTATACCAGATTACCAGATAATTATACTACAATGAAAATGTCTTTAACTAGTTAGCATCTAGCCTCAATGAGTTACAATCAGGCTAATTCTATAGACACACTTAAATAATCTTTCAATTTGTCGAATCAGTTGAGCGACCACCACCATTTCCAAAAAGAAAGACTGGAATTCTGCTCTCAGGACAATACAACTATACGTGTGCATATTCAGTTTAGTATTCCAGCAAGATGAGAAACCTCTTATCCATTGAAATGGTAAATAGAAAATATTCGGGAAAAAAAAAAGAAAGAAAGATTGAATGTTGACTGACTTACATTATATACGGTGAAAGTGGTCTTGGCTTTGGCTGTGCGGAAGTCTGCTCATTCCCTGCATCTTGTGCTTCAATAGATTCAACTGGACCATTATTTGACAAGCTAGCTGTCTGAGATTCAGCACCATCCGAGGCCATGGAAGTGGCCAATGAATTAGGAGTTGTTGGGGTTGGCGAAGTAGCGGGCTTCAAGTCTTCATATCTGCAAGGAAAAGAGAAGATAACTAATTTTTTTATCAGCTATTTTCCCAAATAATTTATGAGTTGAAAAGGGAATCTCAAATGCTGTGTAAAGATGAGAGCCAGCTACTGACTAGCTAAATGACTTGACTAAATTATGATCCATAGAATAAAAACTTCAAGTAAAAAGGTATTTCTATGTTGTGGTTAAATGAAGCCAAAATACAAAGGGCATCTTGACTGAATCAATTGAGTAAATGTGGGAGAATGATGCATGCATATGAGCAAATTACCTATGGTAATCTAGTTTATTCACTTGCTATTAAAACAAACTACACTAGTACATTTCTACACATGTTTGGGATAATCACAAGACTTCACCACCCTCAGGATATCAGCATGACTGCAAAGACTTGCACAGGGAATGGTGAGTGGTAAAAAATCAATTCCTCTTGAACATCTTCTGCCAAGGATCCATTTTCATCAATGAACTGTGGTACACCATCCACAGGTGTTGAAGTCTCCAACGAGAGTTACCAGGAGGAGATGGGCTTGGAGAGCTGGGAGGCTTCAGATCCTCATAGCTGTTCATAAAAGACAGAAAAGTCAAGGGTATTTTTGCTAGCTCGAGCCAGATAAATTTGATTATATAACTTACGCAGTATAAGGAGAAATAGGCTGCAATTTCTGCGATTCTACTGTAGCTGTTACGACATATACGACAAGCCCTCAATGTGGAATTAACATCCATTCCAGAGGTTGGTGAGCTGTTACGCCAAAATCTGATGCAAGTTATACAAAATGGGTGGTCACATTCTGATAGCAAACCAAACTTTCGTTCAGAGGCTGCTGTTTTAGCGAGCACACGTTCTAAGCACACACTGCACTCTATCTCTTCAATGCGTTTCAGTGAAGGAACATAGGAGTTTGTCGCTAGGTATTTGACCCCAAAATCCCTAAAATCCAACATATTAACTTCGATAATACAACAATGAAAAAGGAATTGTCTAGCAAGTGTAGATAAAAGGAAACAACCTCTATTTTATTATTCCACAATGCCAATTTTTTACTTTTTTAAAAAATTAATGTCAAAATACAATCATCAGTCTATCAAGCATGTAAAGGGCATTCATGATTAAGGTAAAGATTGAACGATATAACATAAATAACTTAGTAAGGGCATTCATGATTACCTCTCGGCACAATGGACACTTCTCCTTTGGAGATGTGGCCTGCAGGCCATCAACTATAGTCACAAATGCAGCATTGCAGGCACACATATTGATGATAATACACACAAGATAGAATTATCATATTTATCAAAGTCGCAAGCCACAATCGTACACAAACTAACCCTCACATAAATTTGTTTTAGGATATAAGGTAAACCTAATGTAGAAATAAAAGATAACTAATTTAAAATGGGTAACTTAAAAATGGTGTAACTAATATGAAGTAAAATTGGCTAACATTATCTTTAATAATTACTTTCTTTAACAATTAATAAAAGAATCATACAACATATACGATAGATATAAAAGTAGCAAACACACAACTTTTTTATCAATCAATATCTTATTTAGTAAAACCATAGCAGTTGTTGATGAGCTCTAATACTGAGAATATCCTCCATATTGTTGTTTGGTATAGCCTACTACAAGGGGGTCTTTCAGGAAAAACAAAATAGCTGTCTTTTGAGCTTTATTTTTTATGCTTTTTGAATCATACTTCTACTGTTTTTTTTACTTGCAACGCTTTAACTTTTAAGCTATTCATATACTTTATTGTTGTAATTTTTTTACGGAAAAACTGGTGAATCGCTAAACATCGCCCGCAAATTACCATATAAAGCCCACAAATATGACTTGGTGTGACCATTATGCCCATTTTCTAAAATTGAAATAATCTCGGTTTAAAAAATGTGGAGCCGTACTGGCTCGCCGGGGGAGACCGGAGGGCAGGCCGGAGATGCGGGGGACGCCGGAGGTACGTCGTCGTCGATGGAAAACGAGGTAAGTCACCGTTAAAATTCACGGTTTACCGTCGGAGTGGCTCCGGCGCCTAGGATGGACGCCCAAACCGTAGGCTGGACGTCCAAGCCAGACGCCAGAACCACCACAGTGGCGTCCAGCCCAGACGCCCAGACCACCAGACTGGCGT